TTTTTTTTTTTTTTTTACTTCTGAGATGTGATATTTATCGTTTTGGCTTTGGGGACTGATGCATAAACTCAAGGTCCTGATAAATGCCTCATGAGAAGTCAACAAATATATTGCATAATGAGATACCAATTTCCTATCCCACAAGATGAGGGTCTTAGCATGTGAGGACTCCTTAAGTTGCTCTATTTGGATGCTTTCCTAAATGTCAAAGCTTTATTTTGTGCTAGCCAAATCGTATTTACATTGCTAATGTTGACAGGGTCTGGTCAACTGCTTTTCTTGCATAATGTTTCAATTACGCTGTTACTTCTCTGAGTACTCATTTATTGTCAAGGCCCTGCATTTTATACAAACCTTTTTTATTATAAATTCTCAGTTATCTTTGGAAATGTGGATATAAACATTTACTAATTCCTATTAAATGAATAAATACTGAGCTTGCAATTTGTGGGAATCACTTACTGATCCACAGTATTCTGGTTTGTTCATAGAATTGCATTGTCATTTCTCTGCCTTTTAAAATTCCTCATGGAATTTTATTTGGAACAGCTCGCCTCTTGCGATGATATCTTTAACACCCTTAAACAACAACATCTATCTATCCCAGGTCCTTGGGGGAGGATTCATTAGGTAAATAAAAAATGCCAATCCAGTATAAACATCTGGCTGACTGTGCAACAAACCATAAAAGACACCATATTTTAATAATTCTTAGGTCCTTGGTTAGGAATTGAATTATTAAGTTTTCTCCAGTCTTAGGTTGTGAATCTAACAGATTATCCATACAACATTTAAAAAAACAAAAAACCTTGAGCTCTGTTTTTCAATCTGCTTTATCTGTAGCTATGTTTCTGTTTCTGCTATGCTGGCTGGAGAATTCTGGGAGTTGAAGTCCACAAGTCTTAAAGTGGCCAAGTTTGGGGACTCCTGCTTTACACTGACAGGAGGAATGCCTTATTTTTCTTTTCTTTTTTCTGGGGAGAGATTCTCAGGCAGTAACTCTCTTTCCCGCTACGCCCAGAATCTCGCAAGCAGAGCAAGAAGGTGACCAAGAGGGTCCCCAAAGGCACATCTGCCTATCAGGCTGCCTGGATCCTGGACAAGGCCGAATGGAGAAGTGGCAGCGAGGAGGAGGAGGAGGAAGAGGAAGAGGTTCTGGAAGAAGCCATGTCCCAGGTAATGGAGCTGCCCTTGTTTTGACAGTAACCTGGTGAAGACTGCAGGATGTGACAGGCCCCCTGGCGGGCAGGGGCTTTGAAGGCAGACACGGGTACGTGGCAGGTGCCGAGGACCACCTCCTCCTGCTGTCTCTCACTCAGTACTCTGCCCACGTTGCTTTTCCTCTGCCAGGATGGGAGCAGCAGTGAGGAGGAAGTTGCTTCTGAAGAGGAGGAGGAGGAGGAGGACTCCGAGACCATGACGCTGCCTGAGACCGAGCAGGCCGAGGAGAAAATGGAGGAGGAAGAAGCCATGCTGGAGAAATACCGACAGGAGCGACAGGAAGAAATGTTTCCGGACGAGGTGGACACCCCCCGGGATCTGCCAGCTCGGGTCCGGTGAGAGCCTCAGCAAAGGGCCAGGGCCGCAGGAGGAGGGGATGCAGGGGTGTGTGTGGGAAACTGAGGCAAGGCCTGGGAGGCTCTGCTGGGTGGCAGGGAGCGGGGTGGAAGGCAAGGCAAGAGGATGATCCCGCCGGCTCCCTCAGGTTCCAAAAGTTCAGGGGGCTGAAGAGCTTCCGAACATCCCCCTGGGACCCCAAGGAGAACCTCCCCAGGGACTACGCCCGGATCTTCCAGTTCCAGGACTTCTCCCGGACCAAGAAGCACGTCTTCCGGCAACTGGAAAAGGAGGAAACAGACGGAGCTCAGGTGGGTCCTTTCGCCAGCCTCCCTCGTCTTTTAACCGCTGTTGGTTTTTACACGTTGAATTTTTTTT